GCTTGGCCTGCTGTGTTCATCCAGCTCGACCCCTTGTTATCGCAGATTCTCCAGCATCTGCAGTTCCTACTGTCTCTAAAGTAGCATCCAATTCTGTTTAACAGTTCAGTGATATCTCTGTGAAATTGACAGGATTAGATAAATTTAGTGAGGTCAGCTGATCAAGTATTATTTAGCCTTTTGCTTATGTTCTTTTTATTGTAACTGAGTCAACAATAAATTTTATGTTTGAATTTTACAGGAATTCCGACAAGAAATTGACCAACTTTATCAGTCTGAAAGCTTATCAAGTCTTGACAGTTTAGAAACTGAGGGGCAAAAGACTGCCCACCAGACTGAGCCAATTGAATCAAATTCTCTCTCTGTTCAGAATAATCATACTTCCAATAACAGAATGAAGCCACATCCACCTGTAAAAGATTCTTTTAACTCATGTAGAACAGATTTTTATCCTCTGAAAAAAACACATATAAGTGCCTGGATCAACAACTTGGATAGTAGCCGAACTTCCCTCTCTTCAGCAGTTGTGAGAACAAATGAGACTGAAGCTTCAGCTACAAAGGAATATTTGAGTGATAAGCAACATACATTAGCTTCTGCGAAAATTGGTTCTGAATGTTTTGACTCAAGTCCTCTTTCTTCTGTTGAAAGATATCAGAATGAATACTCAACAAAATTTTACAATAACAATCAACATAAAATTATAGAAAATAATGCCCACTCTACAGAGAGTCATCCAACAACCCGACCTTCTTCAGAAAGCTCCCTTGGCCACACTGCTCATTCTCCAACAAGGCCTTGCAATGCCTGGTCTACGCCAGATCCAACACCTAGGGAAGCGACACAAGTTTCAGATGTGAATGACAGATTAGAATCTGTGCACCAAAGTGAACCTGTAACGTTGCATTCTTTGAAACTGCCTTTAGCAACACCTTTCTTTTTAACCTTTAGTCCAAACTCACAATTGTTCAGTGACAAAAGGAAAACTGACAGTATAAAAGAGAGTCAGAAGACTGTCCAACAAAGTCATCTACTGGCATGCACTGGTGCAACTAATCAAATAAACCAAAAAGCTGACATTTCCAGTGAAAGTGAAGGCAACCATACTTCTAACAAATATAATTTGAGCATTAAAAGTAGACATTGCTCTGAAGGAGCGAGTCAGAAATCTGCTCCTTCTCAAGCAGCATTTAATTCTTCTGAATCTGATTCTGAAAATAATGTGACAGAAGGAAAGGAAAATAAACTGGCAGCACATTCGTCAATGTCTACTACAAGATTAAAAACCAGCAAAAAGTATTTCTATGAAAAGAGTAATTTCAACCTACTGAAGGGAATACTAAAGAAAGTGTCAAAGTATGAAAATGGTTATCCCAAATCTGTACTGTCTGCAACTGGTGTGCTTGGAATTCAAATGGCATCCTCCATCAGGGACAGCGTGGAGTTGGTAAAAATGAAAGAAGCAGAATCTGTCAAAAATCCAACAAAGAAAAAGCTGAGATGGTTTGATGAGATTGAACAAACTAATCAATTTACAAAGGGGCCAAATAAAGGTGCTGGAGAAGAATTGGAGAATACAAAAGAAAGTAAAAGTTCAGGATCAACTAGTCAGACTCAATTACAGTCACCTTGTTCGGAAAATAATGGCAGTTTCACCAATGGTAAGTCAATTGTGGAAAGTAAAAAAGAATCAAAATGGACCACACTAAATACCGGTCACAAGACTGCTGTAGATTGTATCCTTGCTGGCCGCCAGCAGACTGAAACCAAGGGAGCAGTGACAGATCCTGTCATTTTAGAAACAGCTTCTATGACCCATGGAATAACACCAGCTGTACCACCGCAATATCATCTTACTAAACAAGCCTGGGCAGCTACAGAAACTAGAAACATAGACCAGGAAATAACCGTGAAGAACACTATTATCAAACCTGAGAAACCCATGGTAAGGAAAGGACATTCCAAAGTGATCAAAAGAGCCCATTCTGCTAAAGTTTATTTTTGTACAAGAGGCAACTGCCGGAAAGGGACCATAATCAGGCCCCAGTCAGCCAGTGAAGCAATGAAATCTCAGGGTAAAATATTGATACCACATCCTCCACCCAGACTAGCTATTGACAGCAAACATTGTCAAAGAACAACAGGCAATTTCAACAACAGTTGTCAGTCACAAATGCAGCCTGCTAATGTCATTGACAATTCGTCCACTAAATTAAGGGAATTTATACCAGACATTCATTATACTTCTAGTAAAGATAGTGAAGATAAAACTGCAGTCTCAGGCCTTTGGCCTCAGAGAAATTTTTTGAATAACACATCTGTCACCATCACTACATTTCCTTCATCCTATTTAGTGTCCCCATATGAAACAGTTACTAAAGCAACCTATTCAGTAAATACTAGCAAATCTGTGCTTCAACAAGATGATGTAAACAATAACACAAAACAAGACTCTAAATGTGAAGGGGACAGATTGCGTTTGGATAGCACACCAACTGATGAAGAAATTGCGCTGCTTTGGCATGGAGTGCGCCGTGCCTTGGCCCAAAAGGGTGCAACAAGTGGTAAGAAAACATACAGTAGAGTTTTTGCAAACTCCTTCCATTTCTACAAAAAATTCCTTCACAAAAAGAGTTTTTTTTTATAAAGTCACAATTTTCATTTAAGGTAATACTCATTATACTTTCGGTAACATTTATTGCTCATTTTTAGTTATCCTTCAACAGGCATTTGCTTTTGCCATTTTTCACACTTTGAAAGGGAATGATTCTCAGCACAATGTAGAGACACACGTATCCAAGTTTCATTGCTATTACAACACATCAAAGGCTGAATAATTTCAGCCAGCTGTTCACTTCCTGAACCTGCCCCAAAACTTTCCCATCACTTACAATGTCCAAGTCAGGAGTATGATGGAAAATTCTCTATTTCCTTGAATAGGTGCAAGAAGAAATAAAACCATACTTGAATCCAAGCCAAGGCAGTCCATTTGTTCAGCATTTTATCAACCAGTCTAAATATCCAGCTCCTCCACCACCCACAAACAGTGGCAGCATTGTGTACTGTCTACAAGTAGCACATCACAATCCATAACCTCCAGTATCTAAAACAAAAAGGACAGCAGATTCATTACCACCTCCAAGTTTCTTTAAGCCATATATCATACTGACTTCATTTCACAGTATCGTTATGGTTATTGGATCATTATCCAGGAAGATGATGAGGCTGGAATTGTTTTGGTGTCACCTGATGTACTCCAGGTGGAAGTACAAATCTCCATTTTTGTTCTTGGACAGCAATAAAAGGCAGGGATACACAGCATTCTTTTTCTATTTTTCTAGTAATTAATTATTTCAATGAATGTGATACGTACTTTGGGAACAATATTAATGCCCCCACAACAGGTGGGTTCAAAGTAAAATCCCTCATTCAGTGGCAGGTTCCATGGCATGTAAAGAAGGGCAAGACATTTCATCATTACATTTAAAGTTTCCACACTGAGTGAACTTGATTTAAATTTTGCAGATGCCACCTGTGCTATCAGGACTTGTCATATCTGGCAGCGAAGTGGAGATGGGAATGGCTCACTTCCTTTTGCACCAGGAGAAACAGGAGTGGTTCTTTCACCTCCTCTATTGCACTTCTGCCAATCATGGCCTCTCCTTAATATCATGATTAGCTGACCAACTCGAAGTCGAAACCTTTCCTCCATTTTCCACCATTTCCAGGATTTTCCGATTTCCTATTTGCTACCACCTTCAACATTCCTTCCCTGCATCTCTGTAAATATCAGCAAATCGTTTCCCAACAGAAGTCAAGTTAGCTAAGCATTAGGGTAGCAAGATCTGGTAGATGTTTCAGAATTTTTTTTTCATGGTTTTGGGGTGTCTAATTGGACTGTAATAAAGTCATGCAAATAAGCGGGGCAAAATAGCCCCTTCTGCACCATAACATTTCTGTAATTTTGTGATATAGTTAATTGTTGATTTGTCAGGAATGTTTCAAATGCAAAGTACGGCAAAACTCCAAGTAGACTCTTATTCCCATGGGAAGGAATCAAACCAGTTATATGTATAGTGGGGCAAGGAACTTGACTTATAGGAACTTTAGCAGAGGACTCTTTCAAGTACATCACATGATGTATGCAAATAAATAAGTCTTTCTAAATAAAAACAAGCTGCATATTAATCAAAATAATATTGGTCTGAAAGCTAATCTATTGCTGTAAATGTTGGATGTTGAGGCCAGGACAATGATCTAGATGGCGATCTCTAAACTAGGAACTGTCCCATAAAAATTTGAAAAACAAGGCACAGCCATGTAGGGGTACTCCTGTGCACCTAGTAGATGTTATTGAAGGCATACCAAGACAGAAATTGTTGGAGAAACTCAGCAGGCCCAGACGTATCCAGTTTGCTTTCTTTCTTAACCAGCTTATGGTATGTGATGCCAGGAGGCATACAAGAGAGGAAAGTGAAGAGAATTTTAAAGGGGAAAGTAAATTGCCATAATAAAGAGAGGATGCAAATGATATCTGATAGATCACATATCCCTTCTTTTGTTGCCTTGTGGTCAACAAATTCATAAGAGGCAAATTTGTTTCTGTAGCACCACTTCAAGCAATGCTACACAAATTACATTTCCCTTGTGATATCTTTAGGGATTTGCTGCAAGTCTGTGCTAGCGAACTTCTCTCACACAGAAGGCAACTGACAGAAGAAAGAAGTACTCGATTCATTTTCATTGTTGTTTGAATTTCAAAACAAGTATTGATGAAAAATGAGTTTTAATCTCAAGCGCACTATATTTTTAAACATTGTATCTTATAATTTTGTGTAACACTAGCTTATTAAATATGACATTTACTAATCCTTTAAGGAGGATTTTTAAAATGCCTGTTCAGGAATAAAGTATCCCTTTTTTTTTTATTTTAGCAGTTGTATGTGGCTTTCAATTCTAGGCCACACTCTTGTATTGATAAGGCCTATATTGTATATTTTCTGAACTCAAAGGTAGTGATAAAAGTCATCTGGCCAGTCAGTTAATTCCTTTTAATAACATGTATTACTTAACCTAAATCATTTATATCTGATTTCAAGAGACTAATTGCAATACAGAGATGGGGCAGAATTTTCCATGATTAGTGGAAGGGGATCCGGGATATGCAGGATAATAAACTTTGTTAGGATTCTAATATAATCAAGCCACTAATGACTTTCCTCAGGGGCAGGTTCCAAACCCAGCAGAGGACCAACTTTTATCTTTTAGAAAAACATTTGCAGCAACTAGAAAGGCAGTTCAGGCCCTTTTAGACTTTTAATTCCTTCTTTCTCAACAGCACCTTTGTTACCAACTGTGTCTGTTAAAACAATGTAGTCCAGAAGGATTTTGATACCTGCCACACTCATGATGACCAGGTCACCATACTCACCAAATTATTTTAAATCTATGGAATCAGCAATTTTTTGAGAGTAGGTTTGTGGTTTCAAACCATCAGCAAACAAGAAGGCAGCTCACCACATATCTTTCAGGGGCAATTAGCACCATTATATATATTACATTACCGGTTGCTATATTCAGGTGAGTTTACTGGTCCCATTAATGTTAGCGAGTGGGTGAGTAAGTGGATTGTCGATATGATGGGTCAGGTTGGGACGGGGCTGTTAGGGTGTTCTGGAGGGGCATAGTCAGGTCAGAGAATGGTCAGGAGGAGAGTGAGACCTGGTCAAGTGGTGAGCAGGCATGGTCAGGATGGTGTCAGATGGTCAGGGTACTTAGTTCAGGCAGGGGAGGCCAGGTCTGGTCCTGAATTGTCTGATCATGTTGGTGGGGTGTAGTCTGGTGCTCGAGGCATCTTTGGGGATAAATTGTGGAATTAACCAGGTATTAGAATGGGTTTAATTGATCTCAAATTTCCTGACTAACTCTCCAGGAGCTGTTTGAAGTCTCTGACTCTTACTCAGAATCAGAAACATTATTGCAGGGTCTTGGGCAGCAAGGAACCAACCCATGAGAAGGCAATTTCCACAGAGATGTACATCAGGACTTCTACAGGATCCTGGTGCACAACTTCATTTGTATGTCAGAGATTGTACTTATTTTAATCAACCTGTTTGTATACACAGTGACCCACATCCAGGGCAGGTGGTCCTGACCTTCTGATTCTGAAGTAGAGACACTAGCACTGCTCCACAAGATCCTTGAAATGTCAGAGATTGTAGAATTCGTCCCTTCACCTTTCACTTGACACCACCAAAAAAGATGCTAAGTCAATACTTTTTTATTGATATGAAATTTCTGTGTGCACATAATGCTGTGGTTGTCTACAAAACATCATTGATGTATTTCAAATGCTATACATGAAATGATTCAAGAATTTCTGAGAATATGAAAGGTGCTACATGAATACATATTTTTGTTCTTCAATAAATTGTTAAGAAAAATTGGAGGAATGATTTGGAATATCCATCTGTACTTACAAGTTCTTAACTTTATTAGGGAAGAAAGAAATAGTGGAGGAACCGAATAGATATTTTGCATCAGTTTTCTCAGTGGTGGTGGAGGCAATGGCCTAGTGGTATTATCACTGGCCTGTTAATCCAGAGACCCAGATAATGTTCTGGGAACCTGAGTTCAAATCCTGCCATGGCAGATAGTGGACTTTAAATTCAATACAATATCTGGAATTAAGAATCTATTGATTACCATCAATCCATCACAGATTGTCAGGAAAAACCCATTCACTAATCCCTTTCAGGGAGGGAAACTGCCATCCTTACCTGGTCTGGCCTTCATGTGACTCCAGACCCACAACAATGTGGTTGACTCTGGGCAATAAATGCTGCCTAGCCAGCAATGCCCTCATCTCATTAATGAAAAAAAGTGGGATTGAACCTGTGTCCCCAGCACTGTGAGGCAGCAGTGCTAACCACTGATCCATCGTGCTGGCCCATCTGTATCAATCTGTGCCATCATATAGTTTATTTTTAAAGTTAGTTCTAACACATGAATATTGCTCATAGTTGTAAATTTCTGGAATGTTGTAAAAGAATACAAACTGGTAGCTGATGGAGTGTCCTCATTGAGAGATTCTACAATGCTGCTGCTGAGTCACACTGACTGATTTAATGTACAAGATGCAGATCCTGTCAGTGCACCCAAAGTAAACAGAACTGCCCTTCATAGTGGGGAAGGCTGGCTATTCGTGATTACCAAACAGCTAGCCAATTAGATATGCAGAACCTGAGGGCCTGACCAATAACACAGCAGTGGCAGGGAGAAAGTTGATGAGCATACCATCAGGTAATGGTGTTGAAGGTCATTTTTAAACAGCAGCTGAACATGTATAACCTGTCCACAAGCTAGCAACAGCTGTTCCGTAGTGTACAGAGCCACAACATCCTCTACTTGGCTTTCAAGCACTGTTTCTGCCTCAAATACTGAGCTATAATTGCTTCAGTTGACTTCCAAACCTTTCTTTGACCTTAAACCTGAGCAGCCATTGCAACACACCATGTTCTGCAATGTCTCCCTTGACATTCTCCTTCAGGTTATCCAGCAATGGTAGGAGGTGCTGTTCCCTGCAAACAGCCCTCAAGAGATTTTCTCACCTGGCCAAAGTGGCCAGTATGACAATATCATGGAGATTAGCTGCTGTGGATTTCACAGACATTCCCGGGTTCAGGTTCGATGTAAGAAAGGGAAAAATGATCTCCTCCACTCTGTAAGGGTGACTGCAATAAGGGTATAAAAGTAAAGTTGCCATAGTCCCAGAGAACAGTAAGGGTGCTCTCTCAACAGAGAAAGATGACTGGTGATGAGTTCAACCTGAGGCTGTCAGGTAAGTTCGAGAAGCTGGGACCTTCATGTTAACCTCAGCCAGTGCTGGAAGTGGAGTAGCAGCGAAGTGGGTCCCATGAGAGCAATGAGCAATGTATCTGGTAAATCAGGTGGGACAATATGTTTTGAGCTTCAGCACCAGATGTAACATGAGTCCTGAATATAAATGAGCCACATAATGCAGACAATGTTATTCAAGTGGCATGAGAGTGCAGGCGCTGACCACTTGCTAGAGAGGGCCTATTATTTGTTAGAGGAATGCAGATAAGGGGATTAGGTCTCATTGAGATCACATTAAATCTCCCTTTACGTCTCCATGAGAAACTTGCTCATGATAAGAAGGGATGGGTGGAGGAATGCTCTATATTTGCATCCTAATCCTTGCAGACAAGAAAGCGAGCATGGTCACAGCCAAGCCTAAAGGAAACCTGCTAAAGAGACAGAGGCAGACAGGGGAATATCTGGCAGAGATGCCAGAGGTTGCGCACAGCCATTCACTTGGTGGAGGAGATCATTGAAGCCATCACTTCTGTCATGTAAGATAACAAGGTGCAGAGCTGGATGAACACAGCAGGCCAAGCAGCAGCAGAGGAGCAGGAAGGCTGACGTTTCGGGCCTAGACCCTTCTTCAGAAACGTCAGCCTTCCTGCTCTTCTGATGCTGCTTGGCCTGCTGTGTTCATCCAGCTCTACACCTTGTTATCTCAGATTCTCCAGCATCTGCAATTCTTACTATCTCTGCTACTTCTGTCATGTAGGTTACCGTCAGGGCAGACCTCCCAAAACTTTAGCTGCCAGAGCACATCACGCAGAGGTGTGTCACATTCAGCAGCCTGTCTCCAATAAAGTTGCAGAATTTGGAATCATGGTGAGAATAAATGTAGGATTTGTGATGGCACAAGTGGCATAAGTGTTCAATCATTCAACAACTATCTCTAAATATATACTTTACCTACTTCATTCATTTATGGTGAGTGATCATATTGGTGAGGCTTACTTAGCCAGACAATGGTTTGTAATGGTTTTCATCCAAAGTGACAATCATTTGTGAATGAAGAGGTGCTAATAGTATCTCATTTATTAATGAGGGATGTAATGGCATGCTGATAGTATCTCATTTATTAATGAGGGATGTAATGGCATGTAAGTGTTCATTTCTGATTATATGTTTTGTACTTCTGGTGTGTACGTTGCTGGCAAACCAGTATTTGTTGTCCCTCCATAACTTCCTCTAAGAAAGTGGTATTTTGTGTGTGGATCTGCTGTTGTCCTTGCACTGTGCTGTATGAAAGACTGTTTCAGAATCTTGAGCCTGTGACAGTAAGGCATGGGGGACCCAGTTCCAAGTCAAGAAGGTGCGTGGCTTCAGGAGTTACTGCACATTGTAGAGTGTTCCCAAACTTCTGCAGCCTTTGCACATCTAGGTATTAGAGATCACAGAACCTTGGGATGTTCTGGATGGAGGCTGGCAAAGTTGAGTGCAGACTTATGTTGAAAATGTTTGAGAGTTAGGAACCGTTGTGACTTGAGGGGCTTCACTCTGGCTTCAACAAGTGTGAATGAGAGCATCATGGATCTCCCTTGCATGTCTGTCCATCACTGGGGCATCTCTAATGCAGACACAACACACTTGCTGTCATGGCTATTTGCACCTTCCCCTCCTCATTCTTCAAGCAGGAGTATGGCCCCTCTATTTCATTGGCTAGCAATTCGTCATCCCTCTCATGATCCCAGGCACCCTCTAAGACACATACAGCAGCATTATTGATTAATGCTAATGATGAAACCTCATTTCCGACAATCCGATGATCTGATCAAAACTTGTCCTTGTGCAGTCATAGTAGGTGTGGTACCTCTCCTCCTCTGGACTTTATTGATTCCATACAGGTGCCATGAGCCATGTTTTTTAGTAGATAGCCCCAGTCCCCTAGGATCCAACCCTGGATTCGTGCAGGGGTCTGATATAGCTATGGAACCAATGAGTACTGAAGAATGTAGGAATCATGAGAGCTGTCTGGGAACTGAGCGCACACTAAGAGGATTTGTTGTATGGTTGCAATGGTGGAATTGCATGATGATGGAGTGGAACTTCTTCTGGTTAATAAATGCCACTGACTGTTTCTAGGGAGCTTTTGTCATCATGAGTGCAGCCTATAACCCTTTGTATTTTTGGGAAACCTGTTTTAGGCTAAAGCCCACAACCCTGACAGTCTAGTTCACATATTTGGTAGTGAATTAAATGAACCTTCAGTCTTTTTGCACAGGGCATTTGTGACTTCCCTGATGCATATGTGAATGGATGGCTTTGAGGTGTCATATATGTTCCACCATCGACCCCTTGAGCAATCTAGTGACATCAACATTAAATGCTGGAGTGACTGACATTGGGTTGTCATCCATTTCATTGGTCCATAGGTCTTTATGAATAAGCCAATGCAGGTCAGTGACTGGCTTCCCAGGCAGTCTCAGCCATCTCTAGCATTGCATCTTAGACATCTGCCGTAATTGTTTTGAGTTTTCAAAGCTATCAGACCAATACTAATTATCTCATCGGTCCTTACCTGCCTGCCAAGTGGCCTGAGAAGCCTCACCCTTGGGTGCTTTACATCATTGACCTTCTGATCATTGATACCATCTTCTCCCAATTCCTATTTTCTGGCTAAGCCTCCAAAGTTATAGATGAACTAGACCTGAAGCATTCAGAAGTGCTGTGTGGACAGAAGGCAGACAAGAATACATGATGACTGTCTACATGACCCACATTCCTGATCTTGCACATTTGTACCGTTGGGAGATGCTGTGCTTTCTTTTAATCAGACCCTGGCCACCTCAAATCAAACTGTGGCCCTCAATCTCAACTGGTCTCTTGATACCTCAGCATGTAGTTGCTGCAGTATCCTTCAACACACTTGCTATTACCATGGAGATGCCAACCCTCACATCCAGCATTTTTTAGTTGCTCCTGACCCACCCTTAAAACTCCCACCATCGTCCTCATCAACTGTCTGTCACACTCCAATTTCTGTTTGTCATCCTCAACATGTTCCCCTTCACCTCTGTGATCTTCAAACCTCTCTCCATTATTTTGACCTGCCCTCAGTAGCTGTCAGCTCTCCCTCAGTGATCCCTTTCTTTCCCTGAATCTAACTTGAGCTGCCCTCAGTCAATCTTGACCTTCCCTCTATCACCCAGTTCCCTCCCTCTGTCAGCCACAAGTTTCCTTATTTTAGCCAACACAATCTCTCAGAGAACCACAACTCACAGTACAAGAAGTATCTCAACCTCCACTCCCTGTTCCAATGACTTCCACCGCACTCCCCAAACAAGACTTATTTCAGAGACCTTTTCCTGACACCAGGAACCTGATGCTTCATCTCCACCCCAATTAAGTTCTCCTTCCTGCTTATTTCCCGCCACCTTTGCAATCATTAAATTGCATCCCAAGTTTCAGAAGAATTATGTTGTTACCCAAGTTTTAAACTTGATAGCAGTTTTACAGTTTCACAAGTAATCGAGTCATAAAAAATAAATAATGTAACTCTGGTCTTAAAGCATGTAAAAATCAGGTCTGTGAAAACAGTGACGCAAAATTTAAATTTCTTTTTTAAGGTGATGCTCAAAACTACTTATCACCTTGGAACAATGGGCATAAAACAAATTTGCAACCTCATCGAACTAATGTTTCCCAGTTGAGTATTGATGGAGGCAACTTAATGAATGGCGTGCGATCAGTTTCAAGAGTAGACCGATTACTTTCTGCTCCTTCAGTTGGTAAGAATATTTTAGTATAATGTAAATACAAATAGGGTTCATTAATGTTTAGAATCAAGTGCCTTAGGCAACTCAGGTGCAGGAAGGAGCCTAGGTGCTAGGCGATTATCACAAAACAATGTATGTACATCTCATTGAGCATGCATTTTGTTGCGCTTTAAGGTGACCTATGGTAGTTTGTTTGTAAATGGTTGTGTAAAGTTAGTTAAAATATCCCTCAATTCCACTGTCTATTAGAAACTCACAAAGAAATTTTCTTAGAAATCAGAATTCTTTGATACTAGTTCATCAGTACAATGATGTAACATGATCAGAATCTGAAGGAGAGCACATTGGACTCTGTTCCTCTCTGCATAGAAGCTGCCAGATGTGCTGTTTCTCCCATGCTTTCTGTTTAATTTCAGTCTCCAGCATCCACAGTACTTTGCTTTTATTCAGTAGAGATATGTTTGTAAGAAATTAATCAGCAAGATGTACTGGAAGGGTTGTCTATGCTGAGAACAAATGTGCTCAGAATCCACACGACACCAGGTTGTAGTCCAACAACTATAACCTAGTGTTGTGTGATTTCTGACCTCGTTCACCCCAGTCCAACACCGGCACCTCCACATCGTAGAATGAATGTCACCTCATCCAGCCTTATGTCCCATGTTGCCCAGAGAAGTGGAGATGGAAATGGTGGAAAGGCTAGCCATGATCCACCAAGCTTTCCTAATACGGAATGATGCTGTGGAATATACAACAGACTGAGAAAGCTGTAAGCAGTCTGTGATCTCTATGTCCTTGTGTGTTGTGATCTGCCTGTGCTGCTCACAAAACAAAGCTTTTCATTGCACTCAAGTACATGTGACAGCAATAAATCAAATCAAATCAAAGTCTAGGCAAGGGATAACCTAGTGGTATAATCACTGGATTGTTAATGTTATAGAGTCATACACTCCTACAGTACGCAGACAGGCCCTTCTACCCAAACTGGTCCATTCCAGCCAAAATGTCCATCCACACTAACCCCATTTCTCTGCTCTTGGCCCATAACCTTCTAAACCTTTCCTGTCCATGTATTCACCCAAATGCCTTTTAAATGTTGTTAATGTACCCACCTCGACCACTTCCGCTGGCAGCACATTCCACATGCGTACCACCCTCTGTAAAAAAGTTGCCCCTCAGGTTTCCATGTATTCTTTCCCCTTTTACTTTAAACTGATGCCCTCTAGTCCTCGATTCCCCAACCCTGGGAAAAAGACTGAGTGCATTCACCCTATCCATGCCTCTCATGATCTATAAGATCTCCCCTCAGTCACCTATGCTGTAAAAATAATTCTGGCTTGTCCAACCTCTTCCTATAACTCAGTCCCTTGAGACCTGGCAACATCCTTGTAAATTTCTTCTGCATTCTTTCCAGTTTAATAACAACCTTCCTATAGCAAGGTGACCAAAACTGAACACAATACTCCAAGTGCAGCCTCGCCAATGTCTTGTACAACTGCAACATAACTTCTCAACTTCTGTACTCAGTGACCTGACTGATGAAGGCAGGTGTGCCAAAAGCCTTCTTCACTGATCTGTCTACCTGTGACTCCACTTTCAGAGAACCATGCACCTGAACTCCAAGGTCCTTTTGTTCCACTACACTCCTTAAGGCCCTACCATTAACCACGAAACTCCTACCTCGATTTGACTTTCCAAAATGCAACACCTCACACTTATTTATTTATATTAAACTCCATTTGCCATTCTCGGCCCACTTCCCCAGCTGATCAAGATGCTGCTGCAATTTCTAATAACCTTCCTCACTGTCCACAATACCGCCTATTTTAGTGTCACCCACAAACGTACTAATCATGCCTTGTACATTCTCATCCAAATTATTGATATAGATAACAGACAGCAATGGGCCCAGCACTGACCCCCGAGGCAAACCACTAGTCACAGGCCTCCAGTCAGACAAGCATCCTTCCACTGTTACTGTCTACGTCCTACCATCAAGCCAATTGTGTATCCAATTTGCCAGCTCTCCCTGTATTCCATGTGACCTAACCTTCCAGAGCAGCCTACCATGTGGAACCTTACCAAAGACCTTACTGCAATCCATATAGACTACGTCTACCACCCTGCCCTCATCAACCTTCCTGGTCACTTCATCAAAGAGCTGTAACAATTTTTTTTTTGTGAGGCGTGATCTCCCACACATGAAGCCATCCTGACTACCCCTAACCAAACCCTGTCTTTCTAGAGGGATCTGGGTTCAATTCCCACCACGGCACATGGTGGGATTTAAATTCGGTTTTTAAAAATGTGGAATTATGAGTCTAATGATGATCACGAATCCATTGTTGATTGTCACAAAAGTCTGTCTGGTTCATTAATGTCATTTAGGGAAGGAAACTGCCATCCTTTCCTGGCCTCTACATGTGACTTCAGACCCACAGCAATGTGGTTGACTCTTAACTGCCCTCTGGGCAATTAGGAATAAGCAATAAATACCAGTGAAACCCACATCCTGAGAATTAATTTTAGAAAACACACTTTGGGTACCTATAGGCCAGTTAGTTTAACATCAGTGGCAGGTAGGGTTTTAGCAACAATGATCATGGAAAAAATGAACAAACACTTGGAGAGATTTGAGGTAATTAAAGAGACCTTCACAGATTTGTTAACAGGCAGGTCATGTTTGACTAGTCTAACATAAATTTTTGATGCAGTAATACATAAGGTTAATAAAATTAAGGTGTACGGAGCAGGAGAGCCAATTTTAAAAAAGAAAGCTTAAGCAGAGAAAACTATAAGTTGTGGGAAATGGTGTTTTTCAGACTAAAGGATGGTAGGTAATGATATTCCCTGGGGGTCAATGGTGGGACCAGTGCCTTTTTTTGATAAATGATTTCAATATAAGAATACAGAGTAAAAAAGTGAATTTCCTGATGATACTCAACCTGAAGGTGTGACAAACAACTGCAAAAGGACAGAGGGGGCGAACAAGTAGAGGTGGAAATTCTTACAGGTTGGTATGAGATGATACCTGTGACAGAAGGGATAGGGAGAAGCAATATAGACTCAAGAGTTCATTCTAAAGAGTGTGCGGAATAAAGTGATTAGTGAGCATCATGAGCATAGATCTTTGAAGGTGGCAAGACATATTGAGTAAATAACTAGCAAAGCAATATGGTATGGGGACTTCATAAATAGAGGTACAGGGATGTTATGGTGAATCTAGTTGGATCACACCCACATCTAGTTCTGGTCACCATACCTTAGCGTGGTCCTTAAGAAAGTATAAGGAGATTTACCAGGATAATTCCATGGATGAAGAAGTTTAACCACAAACTCAGGTTAGAATAACTATCCTCCTTAGAGAAAAGTGAATGAGGCGATATCTGACAGAGATGTACAAGATTATGACTGGTTCACATCAACTAAACAGGGGAAAATGGTTCCCATTAGCTAATAATGCAAGGACTAGGACACACAGATTTAAAGTTTTAGACAGTAATTACAAGGGGATGGGAGGAAAAGCTACTGCTCAAATGACAGTCCTCTCATCGTAGGAATTAGTCTCGTGAACCTTTACTGCAGTCCTCTAAGACAGGCATATCATTTCATATGTAAGATGTCCAAAATAGTCCGCAATACTCCAGGTATGATTTCATCAAGCCTCCATAATTATCATAAGATTTCTTCATTCTCATGTTCTAATCAATTTCAATAAAGGTTAGTGTAGCATTTGCCTTCCTCATTGCTGTGCCTATGTTATCTTTCCCTGATTCATGTAGAATCCAAGAGACCTGGGATGATGCTGTGGTGACACAATTCAGATGCCACTGTAACAGCTGGTGGAATTTAAATTCAGTTAGTAAGATCAAGAATTATTAGCTAATCTCATGATGGCAATGAAGAACACATGCCCATAAAGATCTATCTGTTTCACTAAAACTCTTTGAGAAGCATGCTATCCTTATCTGATCTGGCTTACACCTAATTCCAGATCCACTAACAATCATAACTGCCCATTGAAATGACCTGGTGTGAGGGTGATTAAGAATGGGAAGTAAATTCTGGTTTTGCCAGTGGTATAAATAAAAATCGTGGGGAATCAAGGGTTTTGGGGAAAGGACAGGAAAGTGGATGTGAGGAACATTGCCGTGCCAACCAGACATCCCAATCTGACCTAGTCCTATTTGCCAGCATTTGGCCCATATCCCTGTAAATCTTTCCTATTTATGTACCCATCCAGATGCTTTTTAAATGTTGTAATCATACCACCCCCGACCACTTCCTCTGACTGATTGTTCCATGCATGCACCACGTTTTGTGTGAAAAAGTTGTCCCTCAAATCCCTTTTAAATCTTTGCTCTCTCACCTTAAACCTATACCCTCTAATTTTGGACTCCACCACCCTAGGAAAAGACCTTGGCTATTCACCCTATCCATGCTTCTCATGATTTTATAAACCTCTATAAGGCCACCCCTCAGCTTCTGACACTTCAATGATATAAAACCCCACCCTACTCAGCCTCTCCCTATCAGCTCAAGCCCCCAATCCCAGCAACATCCTTGAAATAAAAATCATTTCTGAACCTTTTCAAGTTTAACAACATCTTACCTATAGCAGGGAGACCAGAATTGATTGCATTATTCTAAACTTGGCTCACCAATGTCCTGTACAGCCGCAATATGACGTCCCAACTCCTATACTCAATGCAATGGCCAATGAAGGCAAGCATATTAAACACCTTCTTAACCAGCCTGTGTACCTTCAACTCCACTTTCAAGGAACTATGCACCTGTACCCCCAGGTGACATTGTTCAGCAACGCTCCCCAGGGACTTGCCATTAACTTTGTAGTCCTGCGCTGATTTGCCTTACCAAAATGCAGCACGTCACATTTATCTAAATTAAACTGCATCTGCCACTTTTTGGCCCATGGGCACATCTGATCAAGGTCCTGTTGCACTCGGAGATAACCTTCTTCACCATCCCTACACCTCCAATTTTCATGTCAT